GGATAAAGGATTTTTCTTTATCGTGAAGATTTTAAATACAGTGTATCACGATTAATATCTATTGTTTGTATATCCTTATGGTATATATAAACAAGTGGGAAATGTAACTTGTAATTAAAATTCTTTTATCATCCTATGAAAATATTAGGGAAGTCTTTACTACATTATTTATATCTCACTTGATAAAACAGAATAAATATTCTTGCTATGAAGTGTTTTTAATATCATTATGAATTTCATTTCCTGGTTATTTTTATGTCTAAATTTTACAAGTGGATATAAATGTACAAAATGAATTACAGGTATGTACAGTACTGTATACTAATAAAGAAAAATGAAATTTACTCATAAATATTCTTTTTTTTATATATATTTCAGATTACATCAGGTTGAAATGAAACTTATTTGTATACAATATGGATTGTCTCGGTATTTGTTGGTGCTAGGAAGAATTATCGCTAGGCATCCTCTGTATTTTGTATTTTCACCGATTATCATTACAGCTTTATTATCAACGGGCCTGTTTAGAATGAAATCAAACAGAGATGTAGAATATTTGTTTACAGCTTTAAATGGAAGAGCCGATAATAATAAAAAACTTGTCGAAACTCTCTTTCCACAGAACTTATCTTATCATTATGATCATCATCGTTTAGCACAGAAAAGTCATTTCACAATGGTTCAAGTTATAGCAAAAGATGGTGGACACATACTGCACGATAAGATTATTAATGAAATATATCTACTTGATGAAATAATCCGAAATATTACTGTTTATGTAGACGGGAAAAAAGAAGATTATAGCACTCTCTGTGGAAAAAAATTTGGCAAATGCGTTAAAAGCAATGCAATGAAAGTTTTATCTAATGCAAACGATATTAAGTCTGGCACTTATAAAATAAGATATCCATACGATATTGATGATATAAGAATGACGTATGACGAATATATACTTTCTTTGGGAGGTGTTTCACTCGACGAAAATCAATATATAACAGGTGTTAAAGCTGTAAGACTAATATATGTTTTGAATAAATCAAATCCACAGAAGAGAGAAGCTATTTTAGAATGGGAAAGTATGTTTAATAAAGTTATAGAATCAGTAGACTTTGAAACTATATCCGTATCGTATATTAACGATGAAAGTATCGAAGAAGAAATGCAAAGATGTACTGATAGATTACTTCTTCGAATACCTATAGTAATTACTATTGTTTCGATATTTTCTTTCGTGACTTGTCTGACTAATGATTGGGTAAAGAGTAAACCTTGGCTTGGTCCAGCTGCTTGCCTTTCTGCAGGATTAGCTCTTGCTAGTGGAGCAGGATTTATGTCATACGTTGGAATTGAATACGTGGATTTCAACATTGCTCTTTGCTACATTATATTAGGTAATATTTATTTTCTATTAGTTATTTTGTCTAATTTATTAACTATAAATTTTTATTCTTTCAGGTACAGAAATAGATGATGCTTTTGTATTGATAGCAGCTTGGAGAGTAACAAACCCTAAAGATAGTATAGAGAAAAGAATGGGGCAGACATATTCCGAAGCGGGAGTTTCAATTACTATAACATCAATAACAAATTTTGTTTCGTTTTGTATTGGAATGTCAGCACCTTTTCCTGCATTTCAAACATTTTGTATGTATGGAGCTACTTGGTTCTTTTTTACTTATGCTTATCAGATTACTTTCTTTGGAGCATGTCTTGCATTGAGTGCATACAGAGAAAAAAATTATCTTCATCCTTTAACTTTTCGTCCTCTTAAATGTAAGTTCATTTTCAATATTTTTATTATCATTAACTCTTATGTTTCTCTTTGGGATCTTAATATTTACTTTTAATTATTCTATTTATTAAAGACGGAGATATTCAGTTCAGATTCGTGGTTTAGTTAATGGATTTCCAACCTGGTGCCAGGGGTCACGAAGGATTAAACTTCAATTTCGTTTCAGGAAACATTAAAAATGTTACACGTATAAATATTCAATCCATAAGCCAATCTTTTTAAAAATTAAAGCCAAACAAATTATCGGATTATCCGACTATAATCCGGTAGTAGAATCTTACTCACAATTTACAATGAGTAAAGAAAGAATACGTTAAGTAAATTCACATATTTCATCTATTTTAATATTACTTAATATACTCATTATTCAATTTAAAAATTCAGCAATGTGTTTTTAATATTCTCAAATAACAAATATTTTGCTGAAGTTTCCTTTCATTTCTAGCAATATTATTATTTTATGGAAATAATAATTTTAAATTGCTGTTTTACAGCATGAAGAAATAATAAAATTTTGGAGAGTAAATAAGTGCGAAAAATCAATTTAATGATGAAGACCTTGCATTTTAAATACTTTATAATGAATATTAAAGCTTATCCTGGATGGATAAGCTTTAATATTTTCTAAAAGAGAGGCACAAAAGAGAGATCTTTCCAGCATTGAACGAGAGCGCATGTGGTACCCTAGTTCATTGAGGTGTTTATAATAAATAAATTAATAAATAAAATATATAAAATCGTTTAAAAAAACTATATATGTAAATCACGCTATAGTTCTGCGGCAATTTGCAAATTTCCAAAAGTAAGTAAAAGATGCAAATTAAAATTCGATCCTGACAAATTATGTAACAGCATACATTTTAGACGTCTCTATGAAAGAACCGACATCGTGCAGTATGCTAATTGGTAGTAATATAGCAATGCATCATACTCAAGAAAATTACTTTGAGGTGCTTATTATTTATGAGAAACGAGAAGAAATTCATGTGAAGCAACGCTTACGTTGTACAACCTCTTTCTAGATGCATTAAAGACTACACATATAACGATTCTGAATGTAATTATCGCTTGATACAAATTAGTACTACAGTCAGAAGTCATTGTCCAGGTCGCTCTCGTCTTAGCATTGAAATATTAGTACTCTTCCAAACACAGGCATACTCGAAGCAAGATCAAGTAGAGTACAACAGACAAAAGAACGACGAATTTTATATCACTATGACTATCACCCATTTTACTGCTATCTGAAGTTGGTATATGTAATTCGATTGGTGGAACGTAATGCTAAATCTACGCCTTGTAGAACCGCAACTTTTTGAGAACATTGTATGGATTGACAAAGCATTTTTTTCCGAAATGAAGTATGTAACTGCCATAATGTGTGCCATTAGACTCCAAGATACACGCAAAATACAAAACAGTTTTTACAGTAAACGTCTCATGAAGTATCTGGAGCGAGCAATTACTTGGTCCTTGACTGGGTGACCGTATCTTAATATTCAGAACACAATGGTAGATAAATGGCTTGATGACTGCCATTGAAGCAATGACAGTCATCTTGTTACCATTTGTTGCATGTTTACTACCATCGATTTGACAATCGATGAAGAGGACAACATGGTCCTGTTCCATGACTACCAGACTTGACCTCACTGGATTTTTTCTGTGGGAGCGCCTCTAGCAACCTCGTGTGGGTGTTGAAGAACTGGAGAGGCAAGATATATAGAACGGTAGCAACAGGCTACATATCACCTCAATCGTCTACATTTTTGTATTTCCTTTAAATACGTCTTTTTGAACATGTACAATAGCAAAATAAACGTGTTTTCGTATTAATTTATGTAATGTTGGTTTTTATCCTTTGCAGTCAGAGATTCTTTGTACGTAATGCTAAACCTTAAAATAATTTCCTTTTGTTATCCTTGCACTTGGGAGAGATAGGAAAATTTGTGTGTTGTTGTTTTAGAGCTACTGTTAGTTACATATGTCATTTTTGAAGGAATTTATTTATTTTACTATTAAAGCATCGTAGTGGAGTAATGCATTACATGCATATACTCGTGCAATACTGGAAAGATATTTTTGCGCCTGTATAAAAGTTAAAGTAAAATACCCTGTATAATATAATCACGTATTATATGGTCAGATGATAAGAAGTTTTAGTTTGTGTTTTATTTGTTTTTATTGAAAAAAAAATGAAGAAACTCGGTCGTTTTCAGTTCTTGGTTTTGTTCCTGGTGATTAGACATGAAAGAAAAGACTTAGTTTCTTCAATTTTTAAAAAATTGTTTAAAATATCTTTGTTTTCTAATTATCGAAATTAATTTCAGTTAAAAGAACTTTGATTCTATACAAAAGCTACAGATGAAGACCTGTATTTGAAACATTAAAATGACTCATAATTGAGATAAGTGCAGAAATAATAAATAATTAAAACGATTTCTTATTTCCGCATTTATTTTCTCCGTATACAGTAATTAAAAACTTTAGTTTCTGATAGGCTATTAAATTATTATATATTTCACTTTAATAGATTAATTAAGAATCACACTACAATACAGCAAGAAATCATTACTTTTTGATTTTATAAGAACAATATTTAATTTAACTTTTAAATTATATTACAAAATGTATATTTAACAAATGCTTATGCAGCTCTTTTTCTTCCCTTTTCTGTTTCAGATAATGAAGAGAATTCAGACAAAAAAGCAGATATCTACAGAGAAGAATATATAATGGCAAAATTTCGAGATGTTATTGGTCATTTGCTAACTTTTCCTTTAGTTAAAGTAATTGTTATCATTATTTTCATTACTAATTTAGGAATTGGAATAATGGGATTAATGATGTATTCGAAAAGTGGTAACGATTATGCTGATGTTTTTCGTTATAATTCTTCTTTAGTTACTTTTAACAGCGTTATGCATAAATATTTTAATAAATATGCTTATCCTGTTCACGTTATAATTAACGAACCACTTGATTATTCAGATATAGAAGTTCAAAAGAAAATTGAAGAAACTCTACAAAAATTTGAAGCACATCCGAATATTGCCGATTCTTCTGTAAGACTGTCTTGGTTAAAATATTATAAATTTTTTCTTAATCATCCCACACGGACAATTTTATTAAGAGGATTTAATATATCCGATAAAGAAGATTTTGTATTCGTTTTACGTAACATATTCCTACGTCTTCCTCAAGCTCAAGAGTTTAAATCTGATATTATTTTTAATGAAAATCATACAGAAATTATTGCCTCTAGATTTCTTTTACTTTTAACTAATATCAACGATCAGAATGTAGAAATTAATGTACTTAGAGATCTTTATAATATTGTTGATAATTCACCTTTAAAGATACATATTCATAGCATTATGTTTCATATGATAGAACAAGCATTACTTATAACTAGTATTTTATATCAGTTAGCAATTGTTAGCGCAGTTTTAATTTGTCTAGTATTTTTTATTTTTGTACCTAATGTAACTTGTGCTCTTTGTACTTCGATGATAATCCTTTGTATTATATGCGAAACAGTTGGATTTGTTTCTTTCTTTCATGTAAAATTAGATATAGTAATGTTAGCTTCGTTAGTAGTGTGTGTTGGTTTTTCTATAAATTATCCAACTCACATATCATATTCATTTGTTACATCGAATAAACTTAATCCCGATGAAAGATTGAAAAAATCATTATACGAAATTGGTTTACCAATTTTTCAAGGTTCGTTCTCTACTATACTCGGAGTTTCAGTCTTACCCTTTGAACCATTTTATAGTTCAGTTTCGTTTTTTAAAATCGTTCTTGTTATAGGTTTACAAACTGCATTTCACGCTATGTTCGTTATACCTGTATTTTTAACAATTATTGGTAATTTTAATAAATCTTTAACGCGTAAAATAGATAGCACGAAATCAATTGGAGCATTCATACCAGAAAATGATTCACACGAAGAAAGTATGTCCCTCACTTCCGAAAAAGATCAAGCCGTTACCACAAAATTATAACAAACATTTACCAATGTAAATATCGTGTATATATAGTCATATAAATACGTATAATTTGTTTTTTTTACAGAAATGAAAGAAAAATTCCAATATCCTTATCTTCAACGAAAACTTTCTCATCAATTTTCTTGTCTGGGAAAACTAATAGNAATGTCAAAGAATATACCGCAAACATGTTTTATGGAGTAGAATTCTTTAATATATATATATATATATATACTTCATTTTGTAAGTTTAAAATAACGCATGAACTTAAGATAAAATGAATAAAATTCCTTACATAATTTATTTAAATTATGTTTCTGACGTCAATATCAAGTACATAGAAAGTTGAAAATGAATTTGAACTCATTAATTTTAAAAATAAAAAATCACTGTTACTAATTTTAGATCGAAGTGTAATCTATTTTACTTGTTAGACTAAAGTCCTCTAGGTAAACATCCTTGAACCCCACGTCCTTGAACCCTTTTTTATGATCATGAATCTATTCAGTTACAGATCCCCCAAATCAATGTTTTCATATATTATATCATATAAACTACCTGCATATAAATCAAAATTCAATATATTTATAATGAAAATATAAATAGACTTACAAAAATAACGAGTTTATAGGATTAAAAAAAATACTTTAAAAAAACCATCAAGTCAAAATTGACCGATCACCATACTTTCCCTCTGTTATCTTCTATAGTATCCAGGGTGGTAACATATCTCATGAAGAGTGAAATCCATATAGAATATCTTTGAAAAGTTATTTAAAATAATGAAAATAAGCAATTCGAACTTTAATTTAGTTAGCTTTTTGTTTAATTTAATTAAATAAATTACATAATAAATAAAGGATTATTTACAGTGAAGTATAAAAGAGTACACTTTCGGTATGTATTTAATTTGCCTTAATGAAAGATATGTACTGATTACTACAAAAAAAAAGACAAAATTCTCTGCGATTATTTCAGTACTTGTTTAAATTACAATAGTTGATAATTTAATTTTAAAAAAAATGCTCAAATTATCCAAATTTTTTAGCTGTTCGTATAATCAATATTAATGAGAAAGTACGTAATTAAGAAATCGAAATTTGACGTGAAAATGCCCCCCTTTTTTTTCTTATTGGATCGACTTTTAATGTCAAATGACCTTGACTGATGAGAAACGGTGATCCCCTCTTTCCTTCTGAAATACTTACTCGAAAAACAAGTTTCGTTCAGTCGTTTAGTGATTTTTACTTAGCGTTATATCCGATGACCCAGTCTACTTTTGTTTAGTATACAATATATCCTGCTAAGTATCACAGCTCTCCACTTGACAAACTCTATAATTTTGTTTTTTGTGATCAACGCTTCCGATACATCTTTCTTCCTCTAAGTCAAACAAGGTAATTTATTTTCCTTTTAACTAAAATCTTTAGGACCACAATACGTCCTATTTTGCGTTTTAATTTGTCTATTTGATTTTAATTGTAGGTTATTATAATCTAAAAAAAAATTAACGACGTAAAAATTAATCGATTAATGTTTTATTGACAAGTTTGTCCACTTTTTCATATATAGAATTTAGATTAAAAACTAGATAACACAAAGGATAGATTTGTCTTTATAAAGCTACTTATTGTAACTGTTTATATCTTTTAAAGATACTTTCAATAGTTTTTTTCCCCCTAACAAATTACTAACAAGTAAGATAACATATTTAGTTTTATTATAAAGTAAATAGATTAAAAAGGAAACTATTAATTGCTTGTGTCATGCAAACAAAATGACAACCATTAAGAATAAAAATAATTTATGAAATAATTTTAGTGGATAAAGTACGCTTGAATAATCACGAAATTACTTTATACGGTAATAAAAGTCTTTAATCACTTTTTAACAATGTAATATTTTATATTCGAATTCATTTAAATCCACTTGTGTGTTTCCATTCTCGTTTATCACACTTGCGAAGTTTTCTTTATATAATTTCCAACTGTATGTTTAATATTAATGTAAGTAAAGTTTTAATATAATTTTGTATAAAATAAATTATTCTAAAATACTAATTAATATTCTTTAAATTACTTTTTAACAAATATAATAATAATAAAGATAATAGTAAGTATGATAAGGTATACTCGATATAACCTCGTTTATAAACACTAATTGATAGATGATCTCTATATTTTATTTATTAAATCAATAATAATTATATACAGTACTGAAAAATAAAGTAAACTTACATATATTTCACTTGTCAGTGGTATAAAATGAAGGAACTTTTTCTGTTTCTTGCTATAACTTTTATAGATAACAATATTTTGTAAACATAAAAGGAAAAAGAGAAAGTGAATGAAAGAAGAAAGTATTTCTTACCAATTTTATTAGTTAACAAGTAATCATTTCGTAGTATATAATAAACTTTTTTGTGTAGAATTTTAATTAATTTCTTTCTATTTTTGTGTTATTTTCATTTACATAAACTTGTTTTTAACATATGAAAGTGAATTCCACAACGTATACTTTCGTTTTTAATAAGTTTTTAAGGAAAAAAACTGTAAAGAATTTCACTTTTTATTATTTTTTTATCCTGAAAGTTGTATAAACGAGTAAGAGGACAAAGAATCTGACCTATTATATATAGGAAAGTTTATGCTCCCCTAAATTTAGGCCCACTAAATATTTTTGGTATATAGTATAAATTCTATAACTACTTCCTTCTAGAGTCTAACCTTTCGTGACATCTTCATAACATTAAAAAACTATAATTAAAACTAAAATAATTGATAATAAAAAAGTTACACTTGAAAGCTTAAAAAATACAATTGATTACACATATTTCATACAACAGAATAAGATCAATGTCAAAGAATATACCGCAAACATGTTTTATGGAGTAGAATACTTTTCCTGGCTTTTAATGATTATAAAGATTTATATATATATTGACCATCATATTTTGAAGGGAATAAAAATTACATTCTTGATTCATTTAACCAGGAAATAAGCATAGTTTTTGTATTATACAGGTGTGGTATTATAGCCTAGATAACTATAATTGTAATAGGGAAACTTTACGATTTTCCTAAAATAAATTTACAGTATGTCGAATATTTTTTATTAATGATTAAAGCTAGACAGTTAAATTGTAATTTAATCAACTTTTTTTGTGAAGTTAAAAACACTAATTGACTTGAGAAAATGTATCAATTGTTTTTTCTTTCTTTCTTAACTTTAATAAACGGGAAAGTTATTTCTCATTCATTATTCAGTTAAATTTTATATTATGTTTTACAATACTCATAATTAAACATAAAAAATTTAAAAAAAAAGTCACATCTCCTATAGGAAATTAGAAATTAATAGCTTCATACCAAACTAAATATAAAATAAGATATAAATGAGAATAAATTATCTTAAGTTAACATTTATTTTTCGGTATTTTAACGGTTCATGAATCAAATTTAAACAAAAATATTAGAACTTTTCGATGACTCAGAATGGTTTTAATAATAATTATATCATGCTTATGGCATATAAAAGAAATTCCCTAAAATCAATGTCCATACTCTTTTATAATATAAAGAGAAAAAATATGTCAGATGATATCAATATAATTGATTAAATATAAAAATTTTCCCTTTTGAAAAGAGATTTTATTTGATAAGAATAAAATATTTTTCTTCAGTTATTCTATTAGTTTAATGTAATCGAATTCAATTGGGCGTTTAGAAAATTTATTTCTTATTATACATTATTCCAATGAATAAGTTACTTTTTTAAATAAAATATAGATTAATTTCATTAGTTATGCGTAATCTAATTCTGTAATAATGGCTTATTGAATAGCTCTATGGGCACTTTTTCTTTAATTAATAATTTTTCATGGTCAATTCCTTAGAATTACACGATTTATCCATTACTTATTATGGTTGACCTCATTAAAATCTAGGTTTTACTCACAACTGGTAAAAAGTAAGGTCTGCTTATGAGCAATAAAACCAAACTTAAAAATTGTTTATTATCTTTCGACAATTTCTAATATATTTAATTGTGGATAAATTAATTCCTATGCTTTTTTTTTCATAAC